AGTCTCCCTGTAATTAACAATCTCCTTGCCCCAACTCATCCTGGACTACTCTATCTCCCAGAAGTCCTCCTACCATGCTCAGGTCCTTGGATGGCCTTTTTTACTCTGCTTGGGCATTAACACTTGTGCTGAACTGCTTCCCACCGATTCTTCCTCTTGGTTGGCTTTGAAACACTGCATAYGCCATTTTGATTCCTACCTTGTTCAACCCTACCTAGTGACTTTTGCACAGGATTGCTCAGGAAGAGGAAGAACATCAACAACAAGAAGATAATTTATTTTTATGATTCTTAGGTCCCTAGGAACCATACCTGGAGCTGATTTAGATAATGAAATTCTGCACCTGAAATCTTAATGGGACGCACCCTTGGGGGATCTTTGGAGAAGAGCAATGTATTTATGTGTGGGGAGATTCTAAATATTTATGGCTACTGGTCAAATGATGGTAGATTAAAGATGTCTGCTAATTCTTTGCCCCTCCTCCCATCAAAAGATATAGTCTATTTTTACTTCCCTCAAATCTAGACTGCCTAAAACTTGTATTTACGTACATATTCATTAATTCATTTTTTGAGGTGCTGGGGATTGAACCCAGGGCCCTGTGCATGGTAAGTATTGTAACTTGTTTTAACAAAAAGAATGCTCACAGAAGTGATGCTTAAGGGTAGGCCTTAAAAGATCTGCATCTTCTTGTCTTGTTCTTGAAATGCTCCTATTTGGAATATATTCCATAATATGTGAGGAAACCCAAGCAGATACATTGGAAGAGTGTTTATGGGAAGAGGTCACTGGGGAAAATGAAGGTCCCATGACCCTCAACCCATTCTGAGCTCCCAGTCAGCACTGATTACCAGCCTTGTAAGTGAGGCCACTTTGAAACTTTCAATTGTACCCATGTTCCAGCTAATACTATTGTAGGCAGAACTGCCCAATTAACTGCTTCACTGTGAGACATTGTTTTAAGACACTTAGTTTTGGGGTCATGTGTTATATTGTAATAGATCTTGAGATAAAAGTCTCCCATGTGCCAGCTACTGTCCTATGTCCTTCTGACATATGAGGCCGAAACAGAAATGTAAACTGACAGGTGTAGATGAGGGCACTGTGAAAGGGCAGAGAAAGGCTATTAAGAGGTTGAAAGCAAGCTGCAAGGGAAGTGAGGAACTGATGATTCTAGGCTGATGAGCACTGGATGAGCCAATTACCAAACCCAGACTCCAGGTTTTGGCAAGACAATTCTGCAACTTCTCCAGGTGTCTCACTTACTTGATGGGGTTAATTTTTCACTTGACACAAGTTGAGAGTGGAAAGAGCTGAGGACAGTTGGGGAAAAGGTTGTCTGAGCCTATATCTTTCTTTTTTTTAAAAAATATTACTTCCTATTTAGAAGCCAGACAATTTTTTTTTTTTTTTTTTTTTTTGGCACTGGGGATTGAACTCAGGGGCACTGGACCATGAACCCACATCCCCAGCACTATTTTGCATTTTATTTAGAAACAGGGTTTCACTGAGTTGCTTAGCGCCTTGCTTTTGTGAGACTGGCTTTGAACTCACTATTCTCCTGTCTCAGCCTCCCTAGCCTTTGGGATTACAGGTGTGTACCACCACACCCAGCAACAATGTTGTCTTGAAGGTTTCTGGACTTTTGGGAAGTAAGAAATTTACTGATTCCAAGTACCTTTGAATCAAAGACTATTGCTCAGGCCTCAGTGGATTCTGCACTTTTTTGAGGGATGGACAATTAGCAAGTGTTCCTTTTCCTTGATTCCTAGTCTTAGAAGGTCCTGGAACAGGTCTATAACCCTAATTTTCCTTTAATACTGTCTCCTGGCATGTCTATACCTATAGAAGATACATGTCCATTTTCCCCTTTCCTTATGTTTCAGTCAGGGGACGAATCTGCCTCATTCTCACTCATTGSCCAGGCAGAATTTTCCCTAGGCATAGGCTGCTGTGGTTAGTTTCACCCTTCTTAACTCCTTAGAAAACAACTCTTGAATTTGTGTCCTAAAATAACTTATCTATAATTTCCCCMTTTTCTCCATCCTACATCAAAATGATCATAAGGCTGGGGGTACAGTTTAGTGTTGGTAGAATATATTTAWTTCACAAGCATGTGCACATGAGGCCCTTGGCTCTATTTCCAGCACCACCAAAACAAAAACAAAATATAACCTCCCAAACAAAAACAAACACAAAAACACCCCACTACCCATCACAAAAAGCTCAAAAACAACAAAACTCACAAGTATTCATTTGCCAAATGTCTTAACAAATATTTATTAACTACCAACTATGTGCAGGCTCATTTCTACTTTCTAACAGTGAGCAAGAGACAAGAGTTCCTGCCCATATGAAGTTGGTCTTCTAATGAAAGTGACCATAGAAAATAAACACATATGTTGGATGTTGATACCTGCTTTGAAAAAAAATTAAGCTGGTTAAGCAGATTTTGGCAGGAGGCTGTTCTACATAGGAGGGTTCAAGAAGGTCATTCTTATAAGGTGGCACGTGAGGAACTCAAATATGACTGTTGAGAGCCACAGCCKAAGGGGCCCCAGCAAACTTCCAGCTGCCAGCAAACTTCCAGCTGCCAGCTGATGATTGGCTCACAGTGGCCCCAGCAACTTCTAGCTGCCAACTGATTGGCTCCTCTGTAATGATGCTCATTGGGCTGTTTCCCTGCCCTTTCAGACCAGGGAGCTGTTCATTGGGGGACTTTTTTGGCTCCACACACGCTACCCAGCCAATGGAAGGAGTGGGGGAGGTTGAGAGGCTTGGAGAAGCCAGTGGTGGCAGTTAGGTTCTGAGGGTTTTTCCTGAAGAGCTATGTGGTGCAGTGTGTGGTTCTAAAAATAAAGTTCGTTTCTTTTGACAAGTGGCTCCTGAATTGTGCCCAGCCAGACTGCTGCAATGACAGAGTGTTTCAGGTTAAGTGAATAAAAAGTACAAAAGCCTGAAACAGGAAGAAAGGAAGACTGAGGAGAGGTATGGAAGAGGTGTAAGAGGAGTTACCAATTAACCAGGAACTAGAGAACTCAGGCTGAGATCATGGTAGCTTGGACCATAATGATTGCAGCAGAGTTAACAAATTCTTACTGCCCGCTGCTGGGACTGAACCCACCCAGGGGCACTTAACAACTCAGCCACATCCCAGCCCTTTTTAATTTGAGATAGGGTTTTGCTAAGATGCTGAGGCTGGCTTTGAACTTGCAATCCTCCTGCCTCAGCCTCCCAGGTCATTGGGATTACAGGTGTGGGCCACTGTGCCTAGCTGATCTCTGATATTTTGAAGGTATACTGATAAGACTTACCCAGGAACTAGAAATGACATTTGGGAATAAGAGGCATATCCAGGACATCTTTCAGTTTTTGTTCTTGGGAAACTGAATGAACAATGGTGCCACTCCTGAGGGTGGAATATAGTGATTAGGTTGTTAGAGCAGGACGTGTTGAATCTGAGATACTGGTATGTGACTGGAGGTCARGGAAGAGATTTGAGAGACATTTTGCAGTCATCTGCATAAAGATATTCTAAATCACCTCTAGGAAGTGAGAGTAAGACAGAAAAGAGAATCATGGATTATGGCCTGGGSCTTTCCTCAACAACTGGGAAAGAAGTGCAAAAGACAGAGTGGCCAGTGAAAATAAAGAGAATCTGGAGGGCCTGGTGTTCAGGAAGTCAAGAGAAGAAATAGATTTTGTATGATCCCAACGAGGTATCAACACCTCAGCCTCAGTTTTCTCGTCTACTTAATGAAAACAGTAACAACACCTATTTCATGGCATATGTAAATTCTTCAAAAATGTAATGGCCATTGCTAACATTTCCTACCTCTGAGTTAGCTGCGAGAACCCCTCAGCTTCCCTATCCACATAAATGACAGCACCTACATGAGTTTTTCTCTGGGATGAGGTCACTCGAGCACCAGATAGGTCAAATCTAGGTTCAGCGGCTTCAGTGTTAAAGTCACCCACACAGCCTCCAGCCTTTGCGTGCAAATCAACAAGGGGTAAACATAGGTGTAAGGGTTTTGAAGCCGAGTTCTGCTGCTCATCAGCTGTAGGATCTTAACCTCCCTGGGCCCTGAACTCTGTAAACTGGGAACAATTTCTACTGCATAGAATTATGTTCCAGCCCAGTGTAGATTGTAAAAAACGGCTGTTCTTCAGCCCGCCACTGTGGGAATTATTGAAGCCACTCTCCCACTCAAAGTTTGTGTCCAGACATGGTATGCACTTGAGGAGGTATCTCCTGCACCCAGRACTGAGTTGGGATAGCCTCTGAGGTTCTCTACACACACGACAGTAAGCGAGAGTAATGCCAACTTGTCCACTATCTTCACTTCAAGGATCTGTAAATCGCCTTTTACTGGTCCCCCCACAAAGGCATCCGGGACCCAGTTACGCTAAGATAAGGGGGTTTCGAACGYCACGGAAAATCCCTCCGCCGCCGTCCCACTCCTCGCGCGGCGTAGAAGCCAGTTCCCCAGGCAACCTTTCTTGCCCCCGTTCTTCACCCCTCAGGCCTACCCAGGRCCATCGGCTGGAAAGCCGCCGGGGCCCCCAATCCCTGCAAACTACGTCTCGCTAGCTTTCCTCTCTACCCTCTTCTCTGCTGGCGCGCTGCAGTCCTAAGCCCGCACCCCAGTCCTTGGGTACCCCAGGAAGTGGCGGGGCCTCTCCAGGGCAGCTTGACTGGGGGGGGCGGGTAGAGGAGGTGCGGCTTGATAGCGACCTAAGCCTCACGGCCAAAACTCGGGAAGAGAGAGGTGTGCAGCAGGAYGTAGAAGCCGAAGTCCGACCCTCGGGCTTCAGGGACGGCGGGCGGAAAGCTGAGCGCCRCGCCCCTTGGGAGCCGCCCCGCCCCCGAAGCTCAGCTCCTCCTTGACGGCCCCGCCTCCGCTCCAGCCACCAGAGACCCCGCCCTCTCCCTCTCGCCAGAAAACCCCGCTCGCGGCCCCGCCCCCACTGGCGGCCCCGCCCCGCCTCCGCCCGCGCCTCCGGCGCCCTTCGGGTGGCTCCCGGGTCCGACCGCCCTAAGAGTCAGCGTCCGCAGCCGCCGGCGCTCCCTCGCCCCCGCCCCCTCTGGACCCTCCCCCAGTCGCCRCGGTCTGGCAGCGCCTGGCCGGCGGCCCGCAGGCGGGCCGCCCTCTCCGCCCGTAGCCCACCCCCCTCTTAAAGCAGCGGCGGGAAGATGAGGTTTCGGGAGCCACTTCTAGGCGGCAGCGCCGCGATGCCCGGCGCGTCCCTGCAGCGGGCCTGCCGCCTGCTCGTGGCCGTCTGCGCGCTGCACCTCGGCGTCACCCTCGTCTACTACCTGGCCGGTCGCGACCTGAGCCGCTTACCCCAGCTGGTCGGAGTCTCCACATCGCTGCAGGGCGGCTCGAACGGCGCCACCTCCAACGGGCAGACCTCCGGGGAGCTCCGGCCCGGCGGGGCCCGACCGCCGCCTCCTTTAGGCGTCTCCTCTGAGCCTCGCCCGGGGCTCGACTCCAGCCCTGGTGCAAATTCTGGCCCTGGTCTCGCGAGTAACTTGACTTCGGCCCCAGTGTCTTCCACCTCAGCACTGTCGCTGCCTGCTTGCCCTGAGGAGTCCCCGCTGCTCGGTAAGAACTCGGGTGCACCAGTTGGAAGAGAGGGACTCCCCCGGAATTTCGGGACCGGGATCCTTAGTACATTCCCTCTTCCACGACTGYTAGCCTCCCTGTTCCGGATAAGAATGCTTTATCTCAAAGAGAGGCTCGGGCCGGATGGGTGGGAGAGCTTGGGTGGTGTCCCATGGGGGGATTCTTGCAGGGTGGGGAAGTACCCTATAGGGAAGCCCTCAGGCCCCTCTGGCCTCTGAACCAAAGAAGGCCTTGAAGACGTCCCTTTCTGGCCCTAGGTTCAGGGTTTTGTAGTTTGAGTTTGCTTAGGGCTTGGAGCAGTCTTGCCATGCTCACTCTGGTAGGAACTTCCAGGCAGCTCAGAGAAACCCACTCCAGTTTGGAGGACTGACAGTGAGGCTCCGAGTAGGGAAGAGAGTCTACCTACTCCTTCACATCTGTCGTTTCATAGAGCCACTCCTGAGTGTAGATTAAGTTTTCTCCCGAACTTTTGGGCAAGTTACTTTTCTCTAAACATCGGTTTCTCTTCTGGTGTATGGAGATAATAAATGGTACCTATTTGGGAGGTTGCTTTGGAAGAGTAAACAAAACAGTGTAAATAAAGATTTAATTAATGAGGGTACGTTCTCAGTAAGTTGTCACTATTGTGTTCATTTCCTCCTCTGTGTAGATCCCTGGCCTGAGGCCCTTCTGGGGGAATGGGGGCTCCCCAGCTTCCTCCTCCTGTAGTTTCTCTGAAACCTAAGTGAGCAGGACCTCTTTGGGGATAGAGGGCTTGTGTATCTTGGGGGCTGGAGGGCTAAAATGTAACCAGTCAGCCTGGGGTTGCCCCTTCCTGGTACTACTTGCCCAGATGATCTGAGTCTTGGCCTCTAGCCTGTTTCAGTGTGGGCAGGGACCTTGAGTAGGTGGGTTTGCATTCCTTAAGTTAAAAGGACAATTAACTTAGCCTGAGCCTCTCTTTGACCTGTAACCCACAGGCCTGCAGGCCTGAAGCAGCCACAGGTTGCTTCCAGGGTTACCAGACAGGTGGTTGCTTATTTCTAATGCCAGGTTTTAGAGAATGTTGTTCTGAGCTAGGGGCCCTGGCAGGCATCCTGCCAAAAGCTCTGTCACGTTCCCAGAGCGCCCTGGCAAAGCAGGCCTTCCTACTTGCTCTTGCTCAATTTCTCCAATAATTACTTCAATATTTTAATACCAAGTTTGGGAGGAACTGCTTGGAATTAGTCAAACATGAACTGTGGTAATGAGAGAACTTTCTTAATGCAGAAAACTGAATTCCTTCAGACTTGGTGGTTAATCTGGGAAACAGAGTAGTTCATAAAATTMAGCAGACTCTGCCCTACTGCTAAATGTTTAACTTCAGGCATGTTATAGATTTTTTTATCCTCACGTGTAAAATGGGGTTGTCGATGCTTACCTTAACCCCTTTAGGACTAAGAGGTTGTGTACATTAAATTCATGACACATAGTACAAACTCAGTATGTGGCTGCTAGTAATAATATAGTAATATGATTTTAGACCTTGTAGTTCTATTTTCTCCCACTCACATGGAGATGGTTCTGAGCAGCAGAGAAAAGGAGGAAGAGTGAGAGAGTCCCCAGACCACAGAGAACCCAGTTTTTGTTTGTTTTGCTTTTGTTTTTGATTGCTGCTTGGGCATTGTGCAGAAAGAAAGAGAAATTAATTAGCAAATCAAAGAAAAGTACCCCAAGTTTATTAGATTGGGTTTTCTCATTAAGGTATGGGAGACATGGTGATAACCATAGCTCTGCTTTATTTTATTTTATAATATGGTGTCACTGGTGATCTGCTTTTTACCAGTTACTGGTGTTGCTAAATTGATTCTGAAATCGGTTGCTTGAAAGGACTTCCTGTGAGATAATGTTTTAGAGGGTGTAGAGAGAGGCCCTAGGCTGGCTGACTTCATGTGACTTGCATGGGACTGTGACGTTTAGGCTGCTGCTAGGCAGCAACCCCAGAAATGACTATAGCTGTCCTTTCTTCATTTTAATTGAACCCTTAGATTTAAATGGTTGGGTGCAGCTCTTGGAATGGAGGTTCCTCTCCAGGAAGGGCCTTCAAAAAGCTGAAAGTCTGCCTGATTCTGTGTGGGTTAGGGGAGTTGAGCCCATCTGTTCACTTGGGCAGGTGTCAGTCAAAGTCCTTGCGGGGTGGTTTTGAGGTTGGTGGGAGAAAGCATCCGTGGGGTTTAGAGTTGTGGCCTTTTCACTACTTGCAGTTCCTTTCTCCAACTTGGCTCTACTTTAGTGTCCAGAGATCTGGGCCAGATACTTCAGTCCCTCCCAACTGAAATCTGGTGGGTTTGAGGCAGAAAGGCACTAGACTGGGCTTATGGGTCACTGATGTGACGCTGGGATGTCAGAGCAATGCAATCTTTAGATAGGCTTGGGTTAGAATCCTGCCTCCACGTATGCCATCTGTTTTGACTTGGGGCAGGTTGTAATGTTTGGAGCCATAGTACTGACTAATGTGAGGCCCCCCTGGAAGTGAGTGCTACAGAGGGGAGGTGGGCCTTTCCTGGGGAGTCCTAYAGCTTTCCTAAGGGAAATCTCCCTAGTAGTTGGGCTTCTTTCCCTAGTCCTGTCTCAAGCACTTAGGGGGCCTTGCAGGATCTACTCCACTGACCCTGGCACTGAGGCTCTCTTCTGGCCACCTGGGTGTTTGCCTGAGAAGGGAGGAGCAGCAGTTTTGCGTTTCTTTTCCCGGAATGTTTATCTCTGCTCAGATTTGGCGGCTGCTCAACATGACTTGACTGGCTGTGGCACAGACAGCCCCAGAGAGGGTTGGTGTGGGGGAAGGTGGGCAGCACATAAGGCTGAACTGGTTGGGGGAGGCAGGGCTGGCCTGGGGGCTCAGCTGGGGTTTAGAGTATTTGGCATAGTTCCCTCAAGAGGGCAGGGAGTGAGTTCTGGATTGCTTGAATTCCAGAGGCCCCTCTTGCCCAGCTGTGCTTTGAGGAGATCCTCTTGATTTGTTTAAAAGGGAAGGGTCTGATCTAGAACTGGGAATCAGGACTAGCAAATGGCAGGTAGCCAGGGACCCAGGAGAGTGCTTGTTCATGAACCAATTTCCCTGGTGTTTATGAAGACATAGCTTCTGCCACAGTTTGTGCCCCCTGAAGGTGAAGCRTTTGCTAGGTCTCTGCTCTCAGGTGTTTTTCTACCTGTATGCTCCTCCCTGCCCCCTGCCTCAATGTGCATGCATATACATATGGCCCTGGGTAGCCTCCCCAGATCACAGTGTACTTTGAAACTTGGGAAGGGCTGTCTTTTCCTATTTGAAGAATGAATCTTGGAGTTTCATTTCCTTCTGCGTTGGGGTGGTATCTCATCCAGGAAGTGAGAGTCCCTTACCTAAGTTCATATCTTGCAGCTTTGGGCTTTGGTAACCAGTCCTTCAAGCCAGTTTTATTCTGTTACTTTTTTTCCTGAGGAAAGTAATTTACTGACATATATACAGATACTCATTATCTAATAGACTGAGATTCAGAAATACCTTCCCTGACCATCTGACTCACTTTTGAGGTCAGACCTGGTTGCTTTTCCCTATATAGCCTAATGACAGTCATCTCTGTTTGTAATTTATCCCAGACTCTTAAACAAGCATGGTAGCCTTCCCTGACCCCTCCTCCTCCTCCTCCTCCTCCTCCTCCTCCTCCTCCTC